CCAGCCCACCCACGCCCAGCCCCCAGCACCCATGCTCAGCCCCCAGCACCCATGCTCAGCCCCCAGCACCCATGCTCAGCCCCCAGCACCACTCCAGCTCCCAGGGAGCTGAGCAAAAAAGCACTCCCTCACCTCCACCTGAAGACCCACACCTATGGGTTTCTTTTTCCCCAGGGGAGCAAAAAGAAGACTCCAACACAACAAACCCAGCAAATAACCACATTCAAAAATGACTCTCTGCTCTTTGGGGCTTGGCAGAATAAAGCTTGGTGACCCTGCCCACACCCAGCCCTTGGAGTAGCACCAAATCTGGGCACCACCACCCATTGCAGCACCCAGCTGTGCATCACACCTGCTCCTGTCCCTCTCCTCCTCCCCAGCCTCAGACCTTGGGGACTGCACCCCCAGCTCGAGTGCTTTGCAGCTGCAACCCCAAGCAAAGGCTGAACCTCCAAAATGGTCAGACTGACCCTGCATTCATCCCCCCACACACACACACACCCCAAACTGAGCTTCCCATCAGGGACCGTAGCAGAGGCACACGCAGACAAACTGTCCCAGCAAAGGTGTGTTGGGTGGGATTGGCTGAGACAGGCTCATCTCAGCTCAAAATCTGGGGCAGGGAGGGTGCTGGCTGGCTGGCTGGCACACAAATTAATCTTTATAATTAAGTGAAAAGGCCCCTGAAGGCTTGCACTGCCACCTGACGCTAGGAGAGGGACTACTTCATAATTAATACACTGGCCAAACAGCTCATGGAAAGTCAGTTCCCTGATGAATTCACCCCATTCTTGCCCTCTCCTGCTGGTGGTTCAATCCCTGCCCTCTCTGCAGAGCAGCAGGATGGTCTCTAGACTCTTGGGTTCAAACTTCTCTTGACACGTGGGCAGCAGGATGGGGTCACCCACTCTGAAGTTGTCCCCACAGAGCACAGTGATCCTGCTTTGGGGATCCTAAGGGACAGGGACACAAACCAGGCCCAAGTTCTGCCCTCGGCACAGTTCAGAGCAACCTCAAAGCCTCCATCATCTTTGTTTTCTCTTTCTAGGTTTCGGGGCCACGACACATGTGGGTTGCACGGTTGCAAAGCTGCTGATCCCATCTTTC